CCGGAGATCGATAGGCGAATTGGTGCTGCCTATGCAATTGGCCTATAGATAGATCCACTGCTCCTCCACATCAAGAGGAGCTAGTTGAGGTGGCTCGGGCATCTGGGTCAGGATGCCTAGGGACTCTGTCTCTCGGCTCAGTGGTCTTGTGATCAGGAAAACATACTGGGAAGATAATTTGTATTAAAATAGATGCTAGCTTAGAAACTGGTGTATTATTGTGAACATGAGCTATAAATCTGTGGCTTTGTTTTGTGCATAGAGAGGCAGAAAGAAGGTCAAATCTCCTCTGGATTGTTTCCGCATGGAGTTAGCATGTTCTCTCCATGCACTTGTGGCCTTTACCAAAACATGTAGGTTAAGTTGATTGGAGATCCCTGGTTGTTTGTCTTGGTGAGGGACTGGACAGCTGTCCAGGTTGTCCCCTGCCTCTTGCCTGATAACAGCAGGAGACTCAGACTCCCCTTGACCCCACTAGGAATTTAGGGGTAACGTGATTTTTGTGTTTTAAACAGAAAAAGAGAATAAACATGCATCCTGACACAAGATGTAACATTTGTCGTCGTCGTCTTCCTCCGCTTATCCGGGTCCGGGTCGCGGGGGCAGCATCCCAACTAGGGAGCTCCAGACCGTCCTCTTCCCGGCCACCTCCACCAGCTCCTCCGGCAGGACCCCAAGGCGTTCCCGGACCAGATTGGAGATGTAACCTCTGCAACGTGTCCTGGGTCGACCCGGGGACCTCCTGCCGGCAGGACATGCCCGAAACACCTCCCCAGGGAGGCGTCCAGGAGGCATCCTGACCAGATGCCCAAACCACCTCAACTGGCTCCTTTCGATCCGGAGGAGCAGCGGTTCTACTCCGAGTCCCTCCCGAATGTCCGAGCTCCTCACCCTATCTCTAAGGCTGAGCCCGGCCACCCTACGGAGGAAACTCATTTCGGCCGCTTGTATCCGTGATCTCGTTCTTTCAGTCATTACCCAAAGCTCATGACCATAGGTGAGGATTGGGACGTAGATTGACCGGTAAATCGAGAGCCTGGCTTTCTGGCTCAGCTCCCTCTTCACCACGACAGATCGGCTCAGCGTCCGCATCACTGCAGACGCCGAACCAATCCGCCTGTCGATCTCCCGATCCCTCCTACCCTCACTCGTGAACAAGACCCCGAGATACTTAAACTCCTCCACTTGAGGTAGGACCTCTCCCCCGACCCAGAGTTAGCAAGCCACCCTTTCCCGGTCGAGAACCATGGTCTCAGATTTGACATTTGTCTACTGTAAAACATTTCGAACACATTTAACAAACCAAACATGGTCCTCTCAGAAGACAGAGTTTCAGTTTGTCTGCAGAAGCATCAGGCTGCAGCTCTCCGCTCGTTTCAGATGCACGTGGAGGCAGATTACACGAATGAGAAGGAATGTTAATGAGGTTGCTTATGTGTTCCCACTGATTCACTGATGACTCGTTTTAGAGAGAAAATGGTTTGGCAGTGAAAGGAGCAGCAGAGTAGGTTCATGAATAAAAAGGCAGATTGTCGAGGACAGGAAGTGGCAGTAATTTTAGATTTATCAGATTTAGATCATCCCACAACAAGGCTGATGTTTACAGAGTTTTATTTTGAGCCCGGCTGTCCAGGAATTACTAAATTGAGTGAAAACTTGTTTCTGTCCAGATCCGATTAATTAAAGGTCCTTAAACATGCTAAATATATTCGTTGAAGCGTTGACGATGCTATATTGTTATTTCCTAATGGAAAAAAAACCCAAAGCAGTTTTTGGTTTCATGCATGTAATTTCCTGTCTCAGCAGCAAATAGTCTGCTGTCTGCCCAGCAGCTGCACACAGCTGGATGGGGATGTTGCTGCATTATCACGACTCGGGCATCCTACTCGAGTCCAGATCCCTCTTCCCCTCGACTGTAAACACTAACACCCAACCTCTCTGTGTGGCAAACAGGCACTTTAATCTCCACGGTTGTGAAGAAGGGATTTCTTTCTTATTTCGTCTGCACTTTAAAAAATGCCTAGATCCCAAAAACAGATTTCTATCTGTGAGAGGAAGATGATCCCTGTCCGGTCATCCTGAAGAATCGTCAGAAGTGGTTGAATCTTATCTTCAGGAGCTCTCAAAAACCCGAGCCAGAATGTGACCGTGATTTCACAGACTGCTTGTTAAACCACCTCCAGTTCCAGAGTGGATTTTCAGATGGATTACTCCTTAAACAGGCACCATTTAACCATTAAACACGCCAGATGAATAGCGGTGCTAACTGCTAGCCACTAGCAGCTTTTTTAGTGGAAAGTTTCAAGGGTGAGCGTCAGGGAAACAAAAAGAAAGATCTGCCTTGTAGATACATTTTTTAAAACTCTTATAGAAAACTTGTCTTCTTAGAAACCAAGCCCAATTTATTATATGAATTAGGTTTTTTTCCCCCACTTTGTTTAAAATCTAGCAGATAAAAGCCAAAGCCAGTGGGGGACAATCTCTTACTTCTGCCTGGACAAGCAATCCTCATCCTTTTCAAAAGGCGCAGTCATGCGTTTTTCACAGAGAAGCTGATGTTTGGGTAACCAAAATGTTTGGTAACAGAGAAGCAAAAGTAGTAAAGAGGCACGAGGCAGTGGCTAACCCAGTGACCCAGTTGACTCAGATATAGTTTTTGCTGAAACATGGAGGAGCCTCTGTTATGTTCTGGCCGCTCTGCTGCATCTGGCACAGGGGTCGTGAATCTGTGCAGGGTACAATGAAATCTCATGACTATGGGATTCTAGAGAGAGGTTGGTCTCAGTCACAGGTCATCAGCCTTGCAACAGGACAATGACCCAAACCACACAGCTACAAACACCCGAGAACGGCCACAAGGAAAACAAAGGGCTATACTAAAGTGGCCTTCATGAGCCCCAACCTCAGTCATATTGAGCATCTTTGGAAGGAGCGGAAACATGCCGTCTGGAAAAGGCGCCCTTCAAACCTGAGACAACTGGAGCAGTTTGTGCATGAGGAGCGGGCCAAAATACCTGCTGAGCATTGTTGACAGTTACAGGAATGATTTGATTGCAGTGATTGGCCCAAAGGGTCGAGCTGCTAAATATTAGGTTAGGGGAACCATCATTTTTGTCCAGGGCTGCTCCATGAGTAAATGTATTAAATTATTCCATTGAAGCATGTTTGAAAAGAAATGTTTGACTTTCACTAGTTGAATTTCATAGAAATTGTATTTGTTACTTTTGTCAGACCTTCTCAGTGGCCTACTGGTATGAGTGTCCACCCTGGGACTGGGAGATTAGGGTTCCAATGCGGTCCGGTCATAGCCTGGCCAGCCAGGAACTCTTCTGTTCAAATAGCCCCACCCCCTGAGAATTCTAACCGAGCCGGTCAGCGCCGAGCAGTGTACGTCACACACACACATCAAGGCTGAGTTTCTCATAAACAACGACGACTGAGCGGCGTTTGCTGCGGCTCTTTCCTCTGTTCTGACTTCGACGCGTCTTTAAAACCACAACAAGTAGAAGCGCTAAAAGCCTTTCTTCTAAAGAAAGATGTCTGCGCCGTCGCCAGACGCCATTTTTGACTACAGATAAAAATCTACAGTGTCGCACGGTACAGGCCGCATTTCTGCCTTTTTTTCTGATTGGTTATTTTTGAGCCAGCTAGTCCCGCCCCTCATGCGCTTCTCTGCCTGTGAGTAACCAGACTAGTTCTCTGTGTAGAACAGAGGACGAGTCTGGCAGGCCAGGGTAGTCAGGTCAAACCGAAGACTTTAAAAATGTGCCCCAGTGCCTCCCTGCTTGATTGGGGGTTTAAATCACCACACAGCTCACCGCTCCCCAAGAGGATGAGTCAAACGCGAAGATGTAATTTCACCAATGTCTGATGATGACAAATGGGACTAACTTTAACTTTGTTATTTCTGTGACCATTGTGGGGTTTTCTTTCGTTTACCAAAGGTTACCAACAATTTTGTCCCTGTCTGTATATACTATTATACAAATTTAGTAAGACAGGCAGGCAGGCAGGGAGGCAGAAAGACAGATAATGTAGGGACAGCAGTGCCTCAGGAGGTACAGCGGGTTGTCCAGTAATAGGAAGGTTGCAGGTTCGATCCTGGCTGGCTTCCACCAGAGAATGCTGCTGCTGTGTACTTGGGCAATACACAAAACCCTTGCCTGCTGGTGGTGGTTGGAGGGAGCGGTGGCTCCAGTGTTTGGAAGACGTGCCCCAGGGCAGCTGTGGCTACATTGTAGCTCGTCATCACCAGCGTGTGAATGGGTGGATCACTGACTGTGTTGTGAAGTGCCTTGGGGGGCTGTAGAACCCTAAGAAGGTGCTATAAAAATACAGGCTATTTACCATATCCATTTTTTTCACTTTGAAAACTAAATGAATTCAAACAACAATAAAGAATGGTACCAAAACATCCTCCCAGAGGTACACCTCCAATCATCCAACAACAGTTTGGTGATGAACGGCATCTTGAGGACTGTGTCTTGAGGTTTAAGTGATAACTGAGCGACTTGGTGAACAAATATTGTTTGGGGGAAACTCTCCAGACCCTAAGCTCTCTAAGAACTAGTCCATCCTCAAGAGGCAGTTGCATAAACAAAAGAATATGAATTCTGACGCACTGCGTATGAAAAATGGGCTCTACCAGTCAGGATCTAGTCCAGAAGTTTACGTACATGTCAGGGTGAATGCACAGCTCTGAAAACTACTCAGACATTTACCCTTTGGTTAAAATTAGTGTAACTCTATAAAAGCCATTGAAACGTGTGAAGTCCAAGCCAGTATACATCTGTAACCATGGAAACGTTTGGGAAAAGACTGAAGCAGTAAACTTTGTAAGAACCAAAACTTTTCTAAATGTATGGCCTTGGCTGTAGATGTTACAGGTAAAATACTGCTAATGGCTCCATGAATGTTTCTGTTAGATACACCCAAGCACAGAAATGATGAAAACAACCGTTTTACCTAAATCCACCATGTCAAGAGTGTCGCACACTTACGCTGTAGAGGACATCCACCCAGCCCTCCATGGTGATGCTTTGGAACACGGTAAGAACCGCAAACAGGATGTTGTCAAAGTTGGTGATGCCAAAGTTGGGTCCGATCCAGTAAGACCTGCAGACGGTTCCTTCAGGACAAGTTCTGGCTGGTGGCTCGGAACCACAAGGCCAGTCGACCACCCTATCACCTGGACACAACGACTTTGGATTATTATAGAAACCTAGAATTTTAATGAGACTTTATTTAACTGAATGAATCTATTCATTACAAACATCTCTACTCCATCTGTAAGTTCACACATCATCAGCTCACGATAAATGTAATTTACACTTTGACCTGTAAGACTAAAATTATTCACTTTTTGTACGGTTATCACAAACCCTGAAGCGTCTCAGTGACAGAAATAACTCACACAGATCGTACGTTCGCAGGGTGCCGCCTGTGCAATCCAACACTCAAGGATAAAAAAAGCACGCGTTCACACATTCCTACAACTGGTTCAGCCAATAACCTGAAAGTCTTGCCTCCACAATAATTACCACCGTGGATAAATTCAGCTGCTCAGCCTGGAATTATTAGGCTTGTCTATTATGAGTTGACCTGAGATGAAACATAGCTGAGTTTATAATTACCCATATTTTCTTTATTTCCTGATTTATTGATTTGGTCATGCACTCACCAGTGGGACTGAAACAGGAGTGGTGGAATTTGCCCATGTAGAACTCCATCCCGACAATGGCAAAGATGACGATGGCGAAGAAAAGCAGCAAGCCGATCTGCAGCAGAGGAACCATGGCTTTCATTATAGACTTCAACACCACCTGGAGACCTGCAGGACACGGAGAGAGGACACGGTCAAGCTTAGTCTCTAAATGTGGCTAAAGAGGAAAAGCTTCATACCGTTCTGGCCGATTCAATGCATTTAAACACAATCATAAAGTCTCAAAATAACATTCTGTTGGCAAAAAAGTTTATTAATTCAGGAAGGACATTAATTATGATATCAAACACAGGCCAGCTCTTCCAGGGGAATCCTAAGACATCCCCTGGACAGCTGAGGAACATAGTCCTTCCAGGAGGCATCCTAACCAGATGCCTGAGCCACCTCAACTGGCTCCTCTTAATGTGGAGGAGTAGCGGCTCTACTGTGAGCCCCTCCCAGATGACCAAGCTTCTCACCCTATCTTTAAAGCTGTTCTTACAGGACCAGAGCGTTCGCAAAACGGGATTTGCCGCGGCTCCCTGGGGAGGATTTTGGCATTTATATTAGCACAGCTGAAGCTATAATAAACTGCCATCAGGCACCTCTCAAACCAAGACGGGATAAAGGGAGGTCGCTGGACCCCCCATGTGACGTACAGGGTTGCACATTCAGCGTCAGACCGAAGACACGTCAGACTGATGGAATTTCTTTTTCAGGACCTTTAGCTTTGATGTGACCTGCTTTTTGTCCCGCTTGACGCCCGCTCAGCCAGTGTTTTCACCACGGCGTCGCACAGCTGGCTGTCTCTCACCGTCCCCGTAAAAAGTCCCCTACTCTGTTCGTCCGCTCGCACGGCCAAAAGCTCCATGGTCTCCGCGTCCGTCCAGACGAATGTCCTTCCGGCCGGCACCCGGTGCGCAGTATACGTGACTAACGCGACCACCTTCTTTTGCGGGGGGGCCTCCCACAGTCGCTTCAAAGGGATTAGTGGGGCTGACACGCGTTTAGACGTCAGAGGCTGATGCAGCAATATTACTACCAAGCGAGGCGGAACGAATGCCGCAATATTTGCGCAACGCCATGACGGCATGGTGTGTCCTATAAAAGCACCTTAAGGGAGAGCCCAGCCACCCTGTGGAGAAAACTCATTTCAGCCGCTTGTATCCGCGATCTCGTCCTTTCGGGCACTACCCAAAGCTCGTGACCGTAGGTGAGGGTAGGAACGTAGATCGACCGTTAAATTGAGAGCTTTGCCTTCTGACTCAGCTCTCTCTTCACCACGACAGACCGGTACAATGCCTGCATCACTGCAGATGCAGCACTAATCCACCTATCGATCTCACTCTACATCTTTCCCTCACTCGTGAACAAGACCCCGAGATACTTCAACTCCTCCACTTGGGGCAGGACCTCATCCCTGACCCGGAGAAGGCATTCTACCCCTTTCTGACTCTGATTTAGAGGAGCTGATTCTCATCCCAGCTTCACATTCGGCTGCTCAAGCCTGGAGATCACGGTCTGATGAACCAACAGGACCATATCATCTGCAAAACGGAGACTGGCAGAGACTGGTTTTCCTTAGGCCACCAAAACGGATCCCCTCAACACCTTGGCTGCTCCTAGAAATCCTGTCTATAAAAGTTATGAACAGAATCAGTGTCCCCTGAATAGATCTTACCAGGAAGGCTCAGAAGTGTGATCCCCCTGTAGTTGGAACACACTCTGTGGTTCCCCCTTTTTAAATAGGGGAACCACCCCAGTCTGCCAATCCAGTGGGACTGCCCCCGATGTCCACATGATATTGCAGAGCTACGTCAACCAACACAGCCCCACAACATCCAGAGTCTTAAGGAACTCCGGGCGGATCGCATCCGCACCCACCACCCAGAAGCTTTTTGAGCACCTCAGTGACCTCGGCCCCAGAGATTGGAGAGTCCAACCCAAAGTCCCCAGACTCTGCTTCCTGACTGGAAGACGTGTCACTGGGATTGAGGAGGTCTTTGGAGTATTCCGCCCACTGATCCACAATGTCCCAAGTAGAGGTCAGCAGCACATCGTCATCACTGGAAACAGTGTTGGTAGCGCACTGCTTTCCCTCCTCAGATGACGATGGTGGACCAGAATCTCCTCAAGCCATACGGAAGTCTTGCTCCATGGTCTCACCAAACTCCTCCCATGCTCGGGTTTTTGCCTCCGCGACCACCCGAGCCGCGTTCCGCTTGGACTGCCGGTACCCATCAGCTGCCTCTGGAGTCCCACAGGCCAAAAAGACCTGATAGGACTTTTTCTTCAGCTTGACAGCATCCCTAACCACTGGTGCCCACCATCGGGTTCAGAACAACAACAACAAGAGGCACCGACGAACCTCAATCGCAACTCCAGTCATTCTCCTCGACAATGGAAATAAGGAACATGGCCCACTCCGACTTCATTTCCCCCGCTTCCCGGGGACGTGTTCAAAATTCTGTTGGAGGTGGGACTTGAAGCACCTTGTGACAGCAGACACGTTTCCAGCAGAGCCCTACAATACGTTTGGTCCTACCAGTTCTGACCAGCATCCTCCCCCACCACCAGGTAGTGGTAATCTATTTCCATGCTGTAGTTCTTCTTTAAAACACGGAGCAGTTTTGTTTACCTGTTTTCCCGCTACGTTGACGACACAGGCAGCATAAAGTTAACTTATGAGTCAGAATCTGAAGGCAGCATAGCATTTATGGACTTGAAAATAAGCAGGCAGACCGACGGGACCCTAAACATAAACACATACAGGAAACCAACACACACAGACCAATTATGGACATCAGAACACCCCACCATACACAACATGTCAGTAATCAGAACATTATATCACCGAGCAAACATGGTAACAGAAGAAAAAGACCAAAAACAAGAAGACAAACACATACAACACGCTTTAAAGACCTGCAGATACCCGACATGGGCAATAAACAAAGGTAAACGACAAACAACAACAGAAAGAAAAGAACAACCTAAGCAAAGAACCAGAAACCCAGAAAGACAAGAACCAAAACCAGTGATAACCCTACCATACATCAGAGGCATAACAGAAAAAAATAAGAGCAACAATGAAAAAACACAACATAAACACACCAACAAAACCATACACAACAGTTAGAAACAGACTAGTACACCCAAAAGACACAGAAAGGAGTGCGAGAAAGAAACAAGTCGAAGACACACAAGAGCAGCAAAACAAGAAGCAGAAAGTACAATAAAGAAGTCAGCCGTAACAGATCACTGCACAAGAGAAAACCATATAATGGACTGGGACAACACAAGGATCATAAACACCGAACAACAGAAATACAAAAGATGGATTCAAGAAGCTATTGAGATAAGGAGACGCGGATGTGGGACCATGAACAGGGACGATGGAGTTTACTCGTTGGAGCGTGCATGGGACTGCATCGTCGGAGAGGGGAGAGCGGGCAGCAGAGGGCGACAACGTCCTCTGCTGCCCGCGGATAAACGCAGTAGGAAGTGACGCCAGCATCAGCGTCAGCCTGAGGAAGTTTGCAACCGCAAACGAAACGTAGCGGGACAACAGGTAACAAAACTGTTTCTGTGTTTTAAAAAAGAACGTCAGCATGGAATTAGAGATACGACACAGCAGGAACACACCTAAGATGTTCAAAGGTAGTGGTCAGTTGACAGCTCCGCCCTCTCGCCACCCGAGTGTCCAAGACATGCAGCCGCAGATCAGATGAAACGAAAACCAAGTTGATCATCAAACTGCGGCCTAACGTGTCCTGGTGCCAAGAGCACATATGGACACCTTTATGTCTAAACATGGTGCTTGTTATGGACAATCCATGATGTGCACCAAAGTCCAATAACAACACCGCTCCGATTCAGATCCAGGGGACTGTTCCTCCCTACCACACCTCTCCAGGTCTCACTGTCATTGCCCACGTGAGTCCCCAGCAGAACGAGGGCCCCTAAGTGTAAAAATTTTATTTTTGAAACCATCTTCAGTTTGAGTCAGAGACTTACTGGGGATTCCCGACACTAGCTTCAGGGGCCTCAGGACTCTCACGGCTCGCAGAGTTCTTAGGTCAAAGTCTGAGCCTACCGTGGCAAGAATCCTGGGTGAAAAACACAAAAAGTTATTTTAAAAAACAAGCAGCACATTATTAACATCTGCAGTTTGTGTAAAAGGAAATTTTAATTAATAAAATTCTCCTGTTTCTGCCATTACCTACAAATGGAGCTGTGTGTGTGTGTGTGTGTGTGTGTGTGTGTGTGTGTGTGTGTGTGTGTGTGTGTGTGTGTGTGTGTGTGTGTGTGTGTGTGTGTAGGTGTGTGTGTGTGTGTGTGTGTGTGTGTGTTCTTGTACATACTACATACTGAGGACCATTTTGACCATTTCCCCTACAAAGTGAGGACATTTTTTGGTCCTCACTGTTTTTAGAAGCATACCAGAAGCTTATTATACCAGTTAGAGGTATAGCGTGAATTAAAGAACAAGTCGCCTCCTACAAGAAACTTACTCCACTCCCACTTCATGTTTGAAAAATGCAACAAATGCTGTTGCCTGGCAGATCGAGAGGGCAGAGCCGCTAAAAAATACACACACACACACAGGCTTACAACAGCATTGTGACATCATAATGTACCAGCTAACATCATAGTGTACCTCTTAGCCAATAGCAATGGCAGATTAAAATTCAAATGTAGTGCAGAGTTTTTACCTGACAACAGCGCAACACTGACAGTTTTAGGAAGAATATTTAAATTTTAACTAAGATGCACTAAAGTGCCAAATTATTATTCACCCATATCTAAAGCATGATTAGACACTAATTTATATAGTTTACCAGCAAAAAATGTAGACTTGGGGGTGACTTGCTCTTTAAGTTTTAATTAGGGTTAAGGTTAGGAATAGATCTGCATTGGTTATGGTTAGGGCATGGGTTAGGCATGGTGAAATCATAAAAATGAATGGAAGTCAATGGAGGATCCTCACTATGATAGAAAAACAGACGCGTTTGTGTGTGTGTGTGTGTGTGTGTGTGTGTGTGTGTGTGTGTGTGTGTGTGTGTGTGTGTGTGTGTGTGTGTGTGTGTGTGTGTGTGTGTGTGTGTGTGTGTGTGTGTGTGTGTGATTCCACAGCACAGCTGGCAGCCCTTATTACTGGCTGTACGCACAGAGGGAGACTTAAATGCTTCACGGAGACACTCACATATATGTAAAAAACTCACCCCCCAGGCTAAAGCAACTCGGAGAGAAAGTAAGACAAGGGGAGGAAGAAGATGAATATTAGAGCTGATTTAAGAGGACAGAGGGTAAAGGAATGCAGATTGGGAATTGTAATTATGTGGAATCTAGCTGAAGAACATTCCTGTTCATTTTCTATTCATTTATAGCTTCCTAGTAGAAGCTAACCATTAGCAATAGCAACTCCACAACATGGCGGAGCATGTTTCCGTTATTAGTGGAGATAGCAATGTTATCATTAAAGTCACATTTTTTTACCCAAGGGAAGAGCGTAGGAAGGCAGTTGCTGTTAGAGAGGTTTCCATTTGAACAATAATAATGAGTAAGACTCATGATCCTGTTGTTTTCCTCTAGAGTGGTGTTTCCCCACAGAAGACACCTCACAAGGCAGTCAGTCAGACCACAGCAGAGTTATGGAAAAATAAATACATAAAAAAACGAGTGAGTGACACCTTTGACCTTCTCCTCAGTCGGTAGGTTTTTGTCAGACTCCCAAAAAAAAAAAAACCTGGAGAAGACTGAGGGCAGCAATTAACAGTGTGGGTGACTCCACCCCCTAGCCAATCAGTGAGCGGCTGTCTCTGATGCCATGTTTGGCTGGGCATGGTACATCCACAAGCTCACACACAGGTTTTCCTTTTTATCTACAAACAGGTGCGACCCTTACAGCCCCGACTCTCAACTCAGGTCCAAATTCTCAGAAGACACAAAATGTATTTCGTTGTATAAATTCATGGATAAACAAAATTTCCCCTTTCGGTCATCAAATCTTGATGCTGACATTCAGCTTTTATCGGTCAGGTAAGAATAGAGTTCCATTAAAGCAGGGGTGTCAAACTCAAACTCACACGGGGCCGAAATGAAACTCTGGGACGGAGTCGAGGGCCAAACTTAATATTTTTTGAAAAAGTGACGGCAAATTTGCACATTTTCTTTATCAACATTTATGCAATTTTGAACCTTTAAATTTGGAAACAAACATGTTTCTGCATTAACACTGAATATGGAATAACCAAATGACACACGAGCAAGTCAGTTTTAAATAAAAGGCATTAGTGGTATTCATTACTTGTGGTATAATCAGCATTTTTAAAATCTATTCAGGATTTATGTTTTCTTGTTTATTCATTTTTCTTATTTTTTATTCTCCGTTTTTTCTCCTGTAATACGTGTCATCGCTGCTGTGACGTCTAGCTTTCCCCACTGAGGAACAATAAAGGGATTTTCTATTCTATTCATCTATCTGCAGCCTTTCCACTTCCTGTTTACTGTAGGTTAAATCTTTTCTCACGTGCCAACAACAAAATAAAAATATAATTTTATCTTAAATGAAAATGCAACATCTCACCTGTTAACTTTCAGGTTTTGGAGCAGAAAAAGAGCATAAAACCAACATATTTAAAGCTCAGTTTGCTCCACTGGTTTACTGTGATGCTCACCTGTTCCAGCCACATACCTGCATCATGGGGTTGATCTGAGCTGAGGAGGAGACTCCTGTTGTTTTGTTCATCTTCATCATAATAATGACAACATTAGATGACAACAGGTGCTCACATAGGTTTGTGCTGATGAACATGTCTGAGCAGCTTGACCACGTTGTTGTGTGTCGGGGAGGAAACAGAACGGAAGTTACGGTGTAACTATGGTTCTGTGAGTTCCTGGATGACTGCCAGTCACAGGGGTCACTCGGAACTTCTCGGGCGAGAAGATCCCGGGAGACCCGAACGTAGCTATCGGCGCGTAATTTATAGACTCGCGACCAGGTGCGCTAAGTGTCACGTGCGTGACTTTGTTTACATTAGTACTCGACCTGCGCAGAGCGTGAGGAGATACATCCACTCTGTTTACTGCCACTGGCAGTCAGGAGGGAACGAAACAGAACCACAGAGCCGTGCTGGTTTGAGCGTGTCGCTGCTCGCTGGAGTTATATCAGCTCTGTCTGGACGTTAGTTGGAAAACTTCCTCTTTAAGTCGTGAACACATTACTGAGCGGCTAGAATCTCCGTTTCTGGGCTTCAACGTCAGAAAACAGCTGAGTGAACTCGGCGCTGAGTGAGAGGAGTGTAGTTTGTCCGAGACAGCGGAGCTGCAGACACCCAACTACCCCTGACTGCCTCGGGCTGGAAAAAACACAAAGGAGGGGACGCGTCGCCTCCGCGCTGACGCTGCAAAGCATCATGGCAGTTGAAGTCTTTGCTGTAAAATCGGCCAGCGGGCCAGTTTTAATATATTTTTGATATTTATCTCGCGGGCCACATAAAAATGCTACGCGGTCCGCATCTGGCCCGCGGGCCTTGACTCTGACATATGTGCTTTAAAGAGAAGACAGGTGACTCATCATGTTACCTTTTGAAATTTACAGAGAAAATCTCCAGTTCTTGCACATCCTTAATTTAGAACTTCCAAAGCAGCTGACGACAGCGTTTCTTCATCCACATGTCCGAGACAGAAGACCTGATATGTTTCTCAATGTCAAGGAACCTTGCCCTGATGTTTTAAACCCGCCCCGGTTGCCTAGGAGATACGTCATCGGGAGCCGCCAAGACGGGTTCCAATGTTCATGTTCTACCGAGGTGCGTGTTCTCCGTTTGTTAGCCGTTTAGCTAGCTGAGTGAGGATACACGGGAGATGTCTTGTAGCCTAGCCTTGGTCAAAAATTACCCAGAATACACCGCGGTATTTTCAAAAGGATGGTGGATCAGAAGCCAGCAGCTACTTCAGGGACAGTTTTTTTATTTAAAAGTAAGTCGTCGTCGTCTTCCTCCGCTTATCCGGGTCCGGGTCGTGGGGGCAGCATCCCAACTAGGGAACTCCAGACCGTCCTCTCCCCAGTCACCTCCACCAGTTCCTCCGGCAGGACCCCAAGGCGTTCCCGGACCAGACTAGAGATGTAACCTCTCCAACGTGTCCTGGGTCGACCCGGGGGCCTCCAGCCGGCAGGACATGCTCGAAACAACTCCCCAGGGAGGTGTCCAGGAGGCATCCTGACCAGATGCCCAAACCACCTCAACTGACTCCTTTCGATCCGGAGGAGCAGCGGTTCTACTCTGAGTCCCTCCCGAATGTCTGAGCTCCTCACCCTATCTCTAAGGCTGAGCCCGGCCACCCTACAGAGGAAACTCATTCCGGCCGCTTGTATTTGCGATCTTGTTCTTTCGGTCATTACCCAAAGCTCATGACCATAGGTGAGGATTGGGACGTAGATTGACCGGTAAATCGAGAGCCTGGCTTTCTGGCTCAGCTCCCTCTTCACCACGACAGATCGGCTCAGCGTCCGCATAACTGCAGATGCCGAACCAATCCGCCCATCGATCTCCTGATCCCTCCTAACCTCACTCGTGAACAAGACCTTGAGATACTTAAACTCCTCCACTTGAGGTAGGACCTTTCTCCCGGCCCGGAGTAGGCAAGCCACCCTTTCCCGGTCGAGAACCATGGTCTCAGATTTGGAGGTGTTGATCCTCATCCCAGCCGCTTCACACTAGGCTGCGAACCTACCCAGCAAGAGCTGAAGGTCAGAGCTGGATGAAGCTAGGAGGACCACATCATCCGCAAAAAGCAGAAACGAGATTCTCCTGCCACCAAACTCGACACACTCTACACCACGGCTGCGCCTAGAAATGCTGTCCATAAAGGTTATGAACAGAACCAGTGACAAAGGGCAGCCCTGGCGGAGTCTAACCCTCACCGGGAACAGGTCTGACTTACTACCGACTATGCAGACCAAACTCACGCCCCTCTGGTAAAGGGACTGATTGGCCCTTAACAAAAGGCCACCCACCCCATACTCCTGGAGCGTCCCCCACAGGGTGTTCCTGGGGACACGGTCATAAACCTTCTCCAAATCCACAAAACACATGTGGACTGG